CTCCCCGCTCGCTGCCAAGAATGAGGGAGTTCGCCTCAACACAAAATATGGCCGCCGATGCCTGTTTACTGAGCAATCGTGCCTGTCGCCATCCCACTCGCTGGTTTTGCGGGCGATAATATCAGGTACAAAAAGGCACACCGACAGAGAGCAGAACCCCCAAATGCTCGAGCCCCACCTAAATACAATAGAGCGTAAACAGTGTCACCATAACAACCTAGGAAAGGTTAACATGACGACAGTGTTTATGTTTTAGGTAAGGAAAAGCATGGCGCGTGGTATGAGCCGGATCCTTACACGACGTGCAAGGTGAGCCCTGGGAACCTGTCTGCTGCCCTAGAGTACTTCACGAAAGACGAGCTACGATGTTTGCGCCAAGGTCCGAACCAGAAGGACGTGATCTCTGTCATGCTCGACGGGGAGAAAACGTTCATTCCAAAGCACTTCCTGACACGCTCAATCCGAGAGGCCTTTCGTGTACACAAAGACAAGCATCCCGATTCCGGCGTTGGGCTAACGAAACTTTATTCCTTGCGCCCTAGATGGGTCAAATGTATTCCACACCAGAAAGTGTGCGTTTGTGTGCACTGCGCCAATTATTACATTTGTATTGCCTCTGTAGAGAATGTTACAGGCTCAACATTCAACACTGGTGAAATGAGCTCAGCATTTCTGTGCGACTCACTAACAAGTCTGTGTCTTTAAGGAGACTGTTATCACTGTCCAAAAGGCCAGTCTATTACACTCGAGGAACTTCATATCCCAAACACATGAAAAAAAAGTTTGTATGTGGATGTAAGCACCCCCCTTCCAACAACCAACAAGAAATTTGAGATCGGAGACTCCGGTAGCGCCAAGCGCCGGAGTCGCAAACGGCCGCTGGCGCTTGTTTTCAACGTCAGTTAATAGATGGCAGCACATACTGCCGTATTCCAATTTCGCAACCGTGCAGGTAATGTAGGGAGTGCGTTGCAGAGCCGTGGTGCGTTACCGCACCCTCTATCGAAGATGTTTTGTCTGTTTGGTCTCCTTGTGCTTGTTGCAGTAAGCCTATACACCAACTCATGTTTACAAACAAACTGTTTACTGTCATCATGAGTGCGAAGAGAACTCATACAAGATGAAGTTCAAGAGAATGGTTATTTCTTACGCAGAAGACAACGGACATCACGGCACTGCTGAACAGTTCGGAGTGGACAAAGCATCCGTGATTCGGTGGAGGAGACAGCGGAATCAGAATGTCAAGGGGGCCGCGACCCGCAATAAGTTTACGAGACCGCGCAGGGGCTGGCACCCTGAGCTCGAGAAGGAGGTCTGCGAATTCATCCGCAGCGAACGATGCGGCGGCTTTGCCGTCACGGCCGATTCCATACAAAGGGAGGCCATGGAAATCGCCACACAGAAGCAAATTTCCCGAGCGGCACTCCGCACAAGCCGAGGCTGGGTGGAGAGGATGATGAAAAGGAACGGTTTCTCTTTGGGACGCTGCACCACTATCTGCCAGAAGCTACCAGTGGACTTCGAGGACAAGCTTGTCAACTTCCAACGCTATGCGATGAAGCTGCGTTGCGAGTTGCGCTACGGACTCGGGCAGATCGGCAATGCCGATGAGACCCCTGTGTACATTGACGTGCCAAGGACGTGCACCGTGAACAAAGTAGGCGCTCGAGAAGTAAAAGTGCGTACGACTGGCTATGAGAAGCAGAGGGTGATCGTAATGTTGTGCATCACAGCCGACGGTCGGAAACTTCCGCCGTACATCATCCTCGGAAGGAAGAACATGCCGAAGAACGAGACTTTCCCGAAAGACGTCATCGTGAGGGTAAAGGGGAAGGGGTGGATGACGAGTGAGCTGATGCAGGACTGGATCAGAGTTGTGTGGCGGCAGCGGCCAGAAGCATCACTTGGCAATCCCAAAGGCACCAAGTCCATGCTGGTGCTTGATGCGTTCCGCGGTCACCTAAACCCGGAGGAGAAGGCGGATCTGGAGTATAACAACTGCAACCTGGTGGTCGTTCCAGGGGGGACGACGTCTGTGCTACAGCCCCTGGACGTCTCTGTGAACAAACCGTTCAAGGAAAACTTGCGGCAGGAATACAGGGAGTGGATCCGTAGCCCCGACCTGAAGGAGATGCCAACGGGAAAGCTACAGAAAGCCTCTCTATCGACCGTGGCGACGTGGATCTCAGACGCTTGGAAGAGGGTCCGTGCCGATGTTGTGGTCAAGTCAAGAAGTGCTGCATCGCCAGTCGTCGTGATGGCACCGAAGACGACCTCTTGTGGAATACCGACAGCAGCAGGAGCAGCAGCTCGGGTGGGGACACCGACTTGTGTCGTCGAGTGATAGCGAGAGCGATTAGTCGACCGTTGTGCAAACCGGCGGCAAGCGGGCTACTCTCCAGTCTTTACTTTATTTCCTTTAGAACATTTATTCTTTCAGTTTGATTATAATAAATTCATATTTCTTGTGCAAATTTCGTATTTTCGAGGCATGTTCCGAATCTAAGCCCATTTTATTTGAATTACTACTTTATAAAACATTACTTCACACTAAATTAAAATATGCAGCTTACGTCTGGGATCGAGGTGATGAATCACCAGGTCAGAATTGGAATCTTAAAAATCGTGCATCTCGTTTTATACTTTCTATCATAGTATGTCTAGTGTGATGCAATAAAATCAAGCTTATCATTACCTCTCCTTTCACAACATAGAAAATTGTTTTGTCTATGCTTGTTACATAAGATTCATCATAACTCAAATCTGAAAGAAAGGCTACAACAGTACCTCAATATGTTTCAGCATGCATCGATCACCATCACAAAGTTGGCATTCCGTGTAGTCGCACGGGACATTTTTTCGACTCTTTTATTCCAAGCACCTCAACAATCTGGAATCACCTTCCCGAAGCCATTGCCGAAATCCATGATAGTACGCTTTTTAGAACCCTCATAACTAACCTCTTCTTTGTGAAGAGCCCCAACTACTGTAAAACCTTTTTGCTCCATGCTGTTTTTTTTTTTTCTCTCTTCTTTTTTTACTTGTGTACCTCACTGCCTGCTGTAGCACCTCTGACCCTGAGGAAATAAACAGCAGCAAAAGAATGACCCAGTGTACATTGAGGTCCAGCACATCGAGAGTTAACTGCTCTGAAAAAAGTTAAACGATGTTTACCATTACAAAGCCCTGCCTCCTGATCATAGCTGACAAGGAATCGTCACCTACTCCTCAATACCTTTGTGTGATGACAGGCACTGGCATTTCGATGAAGCGCAAGAGCAATGCAAAATCGTCCATGTGTGCACAAGCTATGCAACCAACCAAACTAATTCTGACAAAATCTTCTAGTATATTGCTGGAATTTAAAAGTTCTATTTGCAGCCAGTGTGTTTAAACAAATGTTCTTTGGGTTTGTAAACCTCACATGATGGCATTTGACTGATGCAAAATTATTTAGAAACTGACCTGGGTCGCCACTTGCATGTTTAAGGGTTAATGCATAAGCGCTTCAGTCCAAGCAAAGGCTTTTGAGCGTTGCATAAATGGGGGGACATGTATTTTTAGATAAAATAGCATACAATTCTGCACAAGTGAAATTACATACATTATAAAGCATGACTGCTCAACTTATGGGCCAACCATCAGGCATTCCACAAGCGTGCATCTGACTGTGGGGGATCAGACTTCTCTTCTGACCAAAACCTTTGGAGCACTGTTTGCACTTGTAGTTTTTTTTTTGTCACTGTGCGTTTGATTATGGGAGGCCAGACTCTTCTTGTGAGCAAATGCTTGAGGACACAGCGTACACTTAAATGGCTTTTCACCAGTGTGTGTTCGATTATGGTCTTTCAGATGTGAATTACATGAAAAGGCTTTGGAGCAAAGTTTGCACTTGTAAGGTTTTTCTCCAGTGTGTATTTTATTATGACGGGTCAAATGGGACCTCTCAGAAAAGGCTTGGGAGCACACCTCACATTTGTATGGCTTTTCACCTGTGTGTGTTCGATTATGGGCATCCAAATGTGAATTCCGTAAAAAAGCTTTGGAGCAAAGTTCACACTTATAAGGTTTTTCACCAGTGTGTGTCTGATTGTGGTAGACCAAAAGGGAATTATAAGCAAACTCTTGGGGGCAAAGATTGCACTTAAATGGCTTTTCACCAGTGTGTGTTCGGTAATGGCTGCTAAGGTGAATTTTCCTAGCAAAGGCTTGGGAGCATAGCTTGCACTTATACGGTTTCTCTTTCGTGTGTGTTTGATCATGGCAGAGTAGATTGCTATTGTGAGCAAAGGTTTGGAGGCACAGCTTGCTCTCACAAGGTTTTTCACCAGTGTGTGTTTGATTATGGTCTCTCAGATGTGAATCCAGAGAAAAAACCCTGGGGCAAAGCTTGCACTGCAATAGTTTTTTCCCCATGTGTGTTTGACTGTGGCGGAGCAGACTGCTATTGTAAGCAAAGGCTTGAGGACACAGCTTGCATTTATAAGGTTTTTCACCTGTGTGTGTTCGATTATGGTAGGTCAGATTGGAATTACAAGCAAATTGTTGGGGGCAAAGCTTGCACTTAAATGGCTTTTCACCGGTGTGTGTTCGACAATGAATGGTCAGATGCATTTTCTTACCAAATGCTTTGAGGCATAGCATGCACTTATAAGGTTTTTCTTTTGTGTGCGTTTGATTGTGCCGGAGCAGACTGCTATTATGAGCAAAGGCTCGGGAGCACAGCTTGCACTTAAAATGTTTTTCACCACTGTGTGTTTGCTTATGGCGGGTCAGAAATAAATTATGAGCAAACTTTTGGGGGCAAAGCTTGCACTTAAATGGCAACTCCCCTGTATGCAATCGATTGTGGCGGAGCAGGCCTCTATTGTGAACAAAGGCTTCGGGGCACAGCTTGCACTTGAACAACTTATCACTCTTGTGCTTTTGAGTGTTGCTGGGCACTTGGGACCTAGAGCCAGATGACATGGGAGGATGTTGGCACTTGAATTGTTCATCACCATGGGTAACCAGGTGGCTCACGATCCCACGATGATCTCCAGTGACATAGGTGCAGGAACAGCATCCAAACCAAATGTCGTCAGGTTTCAATGGGCAGCTGGTCTCTTCCAAAAGTGCAGCTCCCCCACCTAGAAGGCCTCATGTGTATTAGGGCACACAAGGAAAGCACAACCAATATAGCGACATGTTTCAGAAATAAGCAGCCATCATTGCAGTTCTGCTTCAGCTCAGTGGTTTAATTTCTTTTTGCATTTTTATTTCAGCTGAAGGAAGCACTGTAAAAGAGTTGATTCTATTAACACCTTTTCTTCGTTACTGTGAAACCATGTAAACCTCTTTCAAGTGCTTATTTTCCCCATAAATGCTGTTTTCTTTTATAGTGACCAGCTTTATTTTAAAAACTCATATAAACGCTTGGCCCTAGAGATCAGCTATCCCAATTTTTTGGAGTTGAATATCCATAACAAAGAAATTAAAAAGCAACTCCCACCCCTAATTCCCACCGGATATCAATCATACAATGTCCGACGGGTATCACGCGAACAATGCGATCTGAAGCACCTGTGTGACAAACGTGTTTGCAACAAGTTCCCCTGTGTTTATCACACCATGACACCATGGAACATGACCTGCGGTGGCCGTTCCCTTGACATGCAAATTCATAGCTCGTTCCCGCATATTTTGACCACAATGTCCGCTGGTTTCCGTGATACACAATTTTGTTGCGGTTTCCCCCATACTTATGGCATTGTGAAATGCAAACCTGCTTTGTCCACAATCTGGTGCTTGTTCCTGCGATATATGAGTGTGTAGTGGGTTCTCATGCTTTTGTCCGAGATCTGCGAGTGCGATATCGCTTCCAATGACATCTGTGTTTGTCGCGAATTTTAATGTGTTTATCACACCATAAAGCATGAATCTGCTGCGTCCACATTCTGCGGTATTCATTTCCATGACAAGTGAGTTTGTAGCAAATTCCTGCGTGTTTATCACAGCGTGCAATGCGAAATTTTAGTGACCGCGAAAACCCCTGGGCTGAAGCAGACCTGTTTCACGTGGCATCCCTATCAAGACATCGAAAATTAGAACACTGAACATCAAAACGCTGAAAAATTATAACACCGAAAAATCAAAATCCTGAAAAATGTGAATGCTTACATGTCTGATCGCCCATTTTTGGGCAATAAGACATGTATTTGTTTGCATGTTTTTGTTGGGTTTGATGTATTCTGTATTCTTTCCAATGACACTCGGCTATTATAGTAAAATGCCTCGTTGGCATCACATGGTCATGCATGTCTCATGCACAGCACATTGCAGTGCCAGAAAGCTTTTAGCACATAGTACAGCAGCAGATTGCAGTGCCACAAGGCTTTTAGCACATAGTACAGCAGCAAAGCACTGTAGATGAAAATAATGTAAAATTTTCTCTTCGCTATCTCTAGGGCATACCAGCCAGACAAGAAAATTTTGGATGGCCAGAAAAGAAAGCAGTCGTGCACAGATCATATGTAGTGTGCAAAATTAATTTTTGGTGGTTTACGAACCGAATAAACGAGGCTGCAGTTGTTATGTGTTCCCAAAAAGAAAAAAACAAAACTTAGCTCCAAATATGGTTACGTGATTTCGAGATTTTTTTAACAACATCACACAAGAGCCGACCGGCCGGTAGATCAGTGCATCATCACGGCATGAAGTGGCAAAATCAATGAGTAAGCGCATGTGCAGAAGGCAAGCCTCAAAGTCGGTGTCATCTTCTAGGCTGTTTCTTAAAGCATGACCCACCCCTGCCCCTGCTATGTGCGCCATTCTCTGCACCACTAAGCGCTGAGGAGATAAGGGGTCAAGCGATTTTAACATAAAAGAAAGCGATCAGTGGGAGATATTTGCACCTAAGTCAGCTTTTAAACTTAACACATTTTTACCGAAGAGCTCCCTTTATCTGATCGCCATGTTACACCTACAATCGTCATTCGAAAAATGGACAATGTGCAAATTAATAATGAAAGTGTCATCAGTGCCATCGACCGCTTGCCGACAAAATCCAGCCCGGGTCCTGATGGTGTATGCTCAAAGCTGCTTAAAGGGGCGATGCAACGAGTTTTGTATTTTGCAGAAATACTGCTTAGAGCGGATCCCTGACGTTAATGACCTGTTAAAAACCCATTCGTTTTTCACCACACGCAATCGAAGTCGCAGAAAAAAATAAAGAAAAGCAAGCAGTGTTCACCCCCTCAACTCGCAGCCAGAACAAGCGGCCATGTGATCCGGAGCCGATTATATGCTGCCAATGTTGATCATAGCCACGCTCCAGGGTTGGCAAGGCACAGGACACGCGCTGCGTTCCCGACATTGTTATGGTTCGGCTGTTGTCGTCATTGCAGCGATTGGACACAGGACACTACCCGAATGCTTTTCGAGCTACAGATTATCACGAGCCCAAATCGAGTGTCCACGCCATGCTCGGGTCCAATCTATGAGCCGCATTCAAATATCGTCACTGGGCGGTACTGCTACCGCCCAGCTACGTCATCAGGTTTTGCGAAGGAGAGATTGAATGAAAACGCTCGGTTTTGTCCTCGAAATTACAGTGTAACAAAGGAGTTTCTTGGTCAGTGGCGTTGCGTGTGAGTATCCTTGAGTCCCACTAGTGCCACTAAGCTCGTGTAAAGTGGAAAACATCCCAGTTGAATATCGTTGCACCACCCCTTTAAACTAAGAAAGAGTGCGTCAGGTGCCATGCCCGCCAGCTTATTCCAGCAATTGCTTGATACCAGCTGCATTCTGGACTAATGGAAATCAGCTAATGTCATCCCGATTTATAAATCTGGTAATCCAAATTGTCCAACAAACTATAGACCAATTTCATTGACCTCGGTTCCTGGTTAACTTTTACAACATATACTACATGCATCTGCAATGAAGCATCTAGTCTCAAATAACCTGCTATTTCCCAATCAGCATGGCTTTCAACACGGTCTTTCCTGCGAAACCCAACTGTTTGAATTGGTGACGTATGCACATACCTGTATTCTCTCATCCTCACAAATCGACGCTATTTTTATAGACTTTTCAAAGGCCTTTGATTGTGTACCACACAGCCATCTAATAAAAAAACTACAATATCTTAAAATTAATGATAAAGTAATTACTTGGATTCGTGAGTTTTTGCACGATAGAAATCAATCAGTAATTGAAAATAAAATCACGTCACCACCTATATATGTCAAATCTAGTGTCCCTCAAGGATCCGTTATTGGACCACTTTTGTTTTTAATTTATATAAATGACCTCCCAAACAACATTTCTTCAAAGATTCACATATGCGCAAACGACTGTGTGGTATACCGTCAAATAGCTAGTCAAAGCGACTGTTTAACTCTTCAAGTGACTTGGATATCGTACTTTCATGGCGTGACAGGCGGCAAATGCAGATAAATATAATAAAACCAAAACAATGGCATTTACCTATCGCGGCTCATCTTTTCAGTACGACTCCAAAGTTATAGATTCAAAATTAGATAAAGTATCCACATATAAATATTTAGGGGTCCATTTAACATCCAACCTCTCCTGGAACACTCATTTAGATTATACCGTTAGGAAGGCAAACCAGTCTCTTAGTTTCTTAAGAAAGCATTTATATATGGCAACAGCAGAAACCAAACTACTTGCATACCTACCCTCTTCAGGCCAAAGTTTGAATAAGAAGTAATAATGTGGAACCCGCACCAAAAATATTTAAGTAATCTAAAACCGCTGCAAAACCGGGCAACCAGGTTTATACTGCAAACATATGCACCTATAAGCGTCACTCAAGTTAAGAGTTCACTTGGTTTACTGACTCTGCACCAGTGAAGATACCTCGCAAGGTTATCCCATTTTCATAAACCCTATCATAGTTCCTCAGATTTCCGTCAAAACATTCGCCCATCGGCTTGCATTTCCCCTCGTCATGATCATTGTTACAAAGTTTATATTCCACTTGCAAGAACTCATCTGTTCAAGTATACCCCGTTCGTGCAAGTGGCGACCGAATGGAATGAGTTGGCAAGCGAAATTGCGACGGTCACTGATCATGATACATTTATGTTGTTATTGCGTGAATCCTTAGAGTAAATGAATTATACCTTGTCCTGTATGTTTACTCGCTCGCTGGTAGTCTTTTGCTTTATTGTTGTTTCTGGCATGTTGACCGCCTCCAATGATGTAAGTGCGTGTGTTTTTTGTTAAGCAATGTCTACGTTCCTTTCATGGTTCTGTTTAGCGTGACACAATGTTTCCTATTTTTTTTATTTTTCCTTGTGGTATCTTGTAGGATTATGTAAAAATTTATATGACACCGCCCTCTATGTAAAGCTCTTTTGGAGCCTTCAAAGGTATGTAAATAAATAAATAAATTATCATCAGTTAGTTGTTCAGAGGTGGTAGTGTGGATAACAGGACCAGGGATGCGTCATACTCCAGAGCTAGCAGACGACACTGACCTTGGCATGTGCCTTCTGCACACGCACTTACTCTTGTTCAGAGTTCTAAGTAACTTAAATACTCTACTCAGGTTACTGTATCTTCAATACTTTTGTGAGTAACTTGTTATCTTGCAAATACTTTCGAAAGTCAGTATTTAGTACTCTAACTTAAATACTTTTTCACGTAACTTGTACTCATTTTAAAGTTACTTTTAAGTTACATTCTATTTTTTATTTTCTTTAGAGGTGGGAAGCTTGGAAAATATATAACTCCAGTTATTTTGGCTAGGCGCCCTGTCATTGCAGATACATTTCGTGCCAGGCAATACAGTGCACTTCCGTGCTTCTTCTGAAAGAGGTGACACGGAGAAGCAGGTGTTGCAGCCTCAAGCCGAGCGGATGCGCGTCGTGTCTTCTAACTGGGCAAAACGCCAAAGCGCATTTTCTTACAATTTGTTTGTGGCCAAGCCCAAGAGCAACAGAAATTCTGAAAAAGAAGGGCATGCGGGTGAAAGCTTAAGATGTGCACAAGGCTACAAGCCAAAGGGAGTGCACTTGTGTCGGAGAGAGGGTGGGTTCTACAAGTGTCTGGTAAGAGTCGACAGTAAACCGGAGTTTATTTTTCTATGTTATGAAGTGAAAGCACATAAAATAAAGCCTTCCAGCTTCAGAAATGCCTTTGCATCCGCACGCAGTCACACACACCGCTCGTTCGCTTCGCTAGGCTCTCTCCGCACACAAGACTCGTAAGACGCGACTACACGGCTCCAATCCGCGGCCCATCGCTCGCGGCGCATGCAGCATTGTCTTCGGAAGCACGAATGACCGCCGGCGCCCACCACAGCAGTGTTGTGAGATGGCCGAACCGGAAAGTCCTTACGTCCGCGGCAAAACCTTCCTGTTTGACCCTACCCGGGTGTGCAAATGTCCGTACGGTTGTCTCAACAGGGGAACAATAGTTGTTTTTTATTTATTTTGCTTATTTCAGTGAGCCTCCCTTCTTTAACTCTTCGTGAGCGCGTTACAACTGACTACTTAGCTATTTCTTGTTTTACAAACATGATATTGAATATGTAAAAGGAAAAATATAAGTTAATCCAGGTATTCAGTATAACAAATTAAGAATTTTTGTGTTTATTGCATAACATACAACAGTCACTAAAACTTGAACAGCATTTTTAAGAACACCCTGGTTATTACGACCTAACGTTAACAAACATTTGCAACAATCGCCTGCGCGCAGCCATCTTTGTCTGCTGTGCTGTGGAGCGCTTTCTGAGCATGCGCTATTGCTTTGCTGTGCGGTATATAAGTATGCGTCCACAGTGCAGTGACTGCATTTTTCACCCTGGGGATAAGCGATGGAAAGGTCTATGACCCACTTTTTTCAGGGACGGTCCGCTCCACAATTGGTTGGTTGGTGCAATCTGATGGCACAGGTATTTCCCAAGCCAAGCTCAATAGCACATCACACGATACACATATAATCAAGACGATAGGCTCGAACGAAGACGATGATCAAGACGATAGGTAACCTCGCGAGCCGAGTGCCGCGCCTCCAATGAACGCTTCCACTGAGGCAAACCTTTGGATTATCGTAACTCGAGCGAGCGTAGCAAGCTCAACTCGATGCTCCGAGGCCAGGGCCCCCGTTCGGGCTCAAGTGCACCTGCACTCAACACCCCCCCCCCCCCTCAAAAAAAAAAAAAAAGAAAAAAGAAAAAAAAAAAAGAACACCAATGAGCGACGTTGTTAGCGTAGCAGCCTTTCAAGTTTTTCATCTTGAAAGTCCCTGGAAACTCCTCAAAGTCAAAATCCGTCCCTACAGCGTAAAAAAAAAAAAAAACGCTAATTTTTTTTCACTTTGGTTGTGCTTGACAATGAATTGCAGAGAAAATTATAACTTAAGAGTATCTTGAAAGTAATAAGCTACTTTTTGTAAGTATTTTGAACTTTACTCAATTGCATTACAAATTTGAGTATTTAGTGCTCTGCTCAGTTATTATTTTTTTCGGTACTCAGTAACTTAACTTAAATACTTTTAATGAGTATCTTGTACAAGCCTGCTCTTGTTCATATGCCACTTCACACCATGATCATGCACTGATCTATTGGCCGGTCTGCACTCGCGTGGTATTGTTAAACAATCTCTAGGGTGTACATTCTTGACAAAGCCAATAGGTATGGCACTGCTGGAGGTATAAAAAATAAATGAGTGCAATGCCAGACTGATTAGCGACCATTCCGCAGATGATATTCACAAAATTATTTCGAAGACAACGCCCCATCAAACTCGCTCCCTGGACCTCTGCAGGGTTACGGTTCTTTGTGCGCGAGAAAGGATTGAGGCTCTGGCTACATTCTCAGGCGAGCCTCCTGTGTAGATTGTACTAGAAGTCACGGCTATACTCCGTCTTATCCTACAACGGACTAAAGCCCAATGCTACAGGCCACCGGGTCCAATCACGAGTCTGTTAGAAACCACGTGGTATATTTGCTCCAAGGTATGTATCAGTGTGCCAAGACGCGTCATGCGGAGGTGTTTTTCGCCTGCAGATCAAGCCCTCACAGTCGCTCCATCTGCTTGCTACTACCGAAGACTACTGAAGGAACTAAATACCGCCTGGAAGCAATGGGGCAAAGAGAACCCAAACCCAAGATCAGACCCAGTGGCCATTAAGAAATGAAGATAAGTCGGATAGAGTGTCCGACACGGAAGCGTATGTACAGTCGGCAGCGAAAGTTTTCGGGGCATGGGAGCGCCAGCCACCGTCTCACGGCAGATTGTCGCTCTCAAGACTCATGCTTTGCACATGTGCTTCCTCTCTTGTTCGCAATCATGTTTTCGTCTCACTTCCGTTCGATGTCCACGAGGTAACAGGAACTGGCACAAGGTGCCGCGAGATATTATCTGTAGCATAAGCGAGCTTCATCACCCGTCACGGTGGCTGAGGCAGACGCGTGGCATGATGGCTGTCAAAGTGGCACCTTGCGCCAGTTCCGGTTATCTTATGCATGTCGGGTGGAAGTAAGCAAAAATTGTGAATCTTGAGGGTGGTCGCGTGCCTTCAGAAGGTGCAACCAGTGATTTTTGGCTGATATTCCCGCACCCTGCAAAGTCTTGCTGCCGAATGTACAGATCGCATGCGGAAGGGAGATGTGAGTTTTGTGTATAAAAACGTCTATAAAAAGAAATGTCTTCCGAAGTTCTCTGAACCTACAAAGATCAAGGTTCCTATGTCATAAACTACAAAAACGGCCACTGAGAAGTATTATGAAAAACTACAGCTGGTGTTTTAAAAGGTAGCACTGCGCTTTAGCTGCGCTGGAGCCAGAGTTGAGCCAAAGTTCGCTGCCCTTTCAATTCACTGCTCTACGAGAACTACCTCGACTGCTGTATTTATTCAAATACAGGCCAGCGTTTCTTTTCTTTTTCCCCTTTCTCGGCTTGGTTTTTTCTAAATTACAGGACCACCTACAGTCAAGTGCAACCTGTAATATTACCGAGCACAATCTGCGTCCCTATCGGGCTATGCCAGACGCTCTCCCAGGTCAGCCGCTGCTCCTAGCACTTCGGTGCAAAGCGGTGAAGCTCGACACACACACTCTCGTGAGACAGAGGCGGTGAAGGTTGACATGAGGGGCTCAAGTGCCAAGGTGAGTTGTAGCTACACCATGCAGGCATGCGACAGACATAATAATCAAATCATCTCATCAGGATTAAAGGGCCCTTGGTTATGTTTTATTGTAGTCGCCACCATTCTATTATTTTGCAAATACGTGTCTGGCAACTTTTAGCTCCTGACATTGCGTCTGAATTTTGAGACGCTGATGAGGCTAGTGCTGATGACGAACGACCTCGATACTTCGATTCATCTTTGGTCAATGCTGGAATGAATGAAACAGCGTCAAAAGCGCGATATCACATCGTTCGTCGTCTCTCTGTGCATACTCATTGATCGGCTAAACCAATTAAGAGCAGCGAATGCCCCGAGACTTGAGCTTTTACTGTCTCCGTGTGTTGGCAAGTGTGCGTGTTCGAGCCTTTGACTATGCTCTAACATAAGATTAAACAAACTGTTTGGCGAGTAAAGACACTGTGGAATACATATTTGAACCAATTTCCTTTTCTTCTACTTGTCTGAATATTAGAATCAACCAAAAATTAAATATTTTTTGTACAAGCCCATCTTGACACAGGTGACGCAATTGTTAGCAAAAATGGGATTTTGGCGCAAGGCATTGCAGACTTTCGTTCATGGTGCAATATGGAGCAGAACTTCCATCACTGTTATGTTTGCAAGTGACAAGTGCTCTATTATTTCTTATGACCTCTCTGACGCCTCAAACACTTTATTTAACGCTGGCAGTTTGCACAAAAATAAAAAAAATATACAAAAACATTCGCTTGGCATTTTGATGTACTTTGTTGTTCCTGAATGTTTGCAAGAGTACCACATGCTTAAAAAGACAGAAAAATGGAAAAAAATTTAATAAAGGTTTTAGATGGGACACTATTTTTGTAAATTTTTGCCCAAGTTTTTTTTTAGCAATATTTACGTTGTAAGACACAATTTAGGTGAGGGTGGTTCTGCTCTAGGGACCTTTTCCCAGCTTTCATTGGTTGGCGAGACGATTGATGTGTGAAATATTTGTTCTAAAATTGTTTCTCCGTGCCGTAATGGTATTTTTATCGGCAATATAGTTATGTTTCCGAAACATATAATTTAAATAAAGTCGAGTGAAGAGCAACATCCGAAGGACAAGTGAATGCTACTCTAATGTCCTTGCAAATTAGACATTACATAATTCTTGGTGGCACATTTTATGAGAAAAAAAGTTGGGAAGCAATGGCTGACTTTCTATACTGTTCATTGTTTCCCAATGTTACCCTAGTACCTAGGAAATAAGCTTGCTTCCACTATCTCATCTTCACCTTCCCAAACCCCAAATTCACCATGCCCAAAACTCTTTCCCCACTGCCATGAACCTCCTCTGAAATTCCACTTTAGCTGCTTGCCACTCGTTCCACGAAGCCCAACCCACATCACCCTGCACACCATCATCTAGCCTCCTGGCTCCACAGAGAATGCGTCCATGGTGGAGGATCTCTGAATCGGCACGGACCTATAGGAATCTGCAGACATCTGTACAAAAGGCGCTGCTCTATATATGACCACCATTAACCTAGACACCACCACTATCCTCCGTTTATGAAAGAGGTTGAAATGAAAAACTTACCCTGAAGCGACGACTGAATCGGTTCCATCGGAATCGCTGTCCGCAGTCAGGTTCGCAAGGAGACTCGTAAGATCACGAAGGATGCACAGGACCACTCGAGATGACTAGGCGTGAATGCAGAGCAGGGAGAGTAATTAAGAACAAAGCAAACAGACCCTCCAAGATCATGAAACTAGGGAGATGGCCACGAAGATAATACCTACTACACACACCCAGAATTTTTTTCATTTTGAGATAACAATGACAAATGGATGAGGAAATAGAATGCTCGTGTGCCTAGCATTAAGTGGTAGATTGCACTGTCTAACAAACTTTAAAGGTATGTTCTGAAGGTATGTTAACACAATTTGTTTTCTTTTTTTTTCTGCAACATTACCAGTATAGTAAAAATCCAATCAGCCAAAGGGGTGAGGACTCGCAAAAGATAAAACCTGAGATAACTATGTCGCTGGGACGTATTAGTTGTCCCCATGATTTTGCTAAATTTGTTTTGTAAACAGCACTTGAATTTCGCCGATAACTTTGAAAGAACTGCGGGACCATCACATCTAGGGCTGGGCAATTGATTGATTAACCTTCCGATTAATCGATTAAGGCTTTAATAGCAATCAAACATTTTAACCAGTCAACCGGCTTTTTAATCAATATTCAAAAGAAGTCCCTTCACAGCCAGGTGCTATGAGCAAGGTTCAATTCTCGCGCTCGCGAAGCGTCACGTGTTCGAGGATATACATTACAGTTCTGCCGAGGCCAGACGAACAAGCCGGGCCCGCAATTGATCCCCGTGCGACCGCGAAACTTCACGCGTTGAGGATCTGTTACACATCCTCCCCAGGCAAGACAAACAAGCAGAAAAACAAGCTGGGAAGCTAACAACGCCATGGTTACTTGTTCCAGTACTCGGCACGTAAAAATGGACGAGTTCACGATTATGAAAGGCAATCTCGCTGGAAAGTTTGGGTTTAAAATAAACTGCAGCGATGAAGTTTTTGACTCGAAGGAAGTCCACTGCATCATCTGCAAAAAGCCGTTTTCGTACAGTGCAAGCGTAAGTTTGCTTCAGTATCGCCTACGAGCGAAGCACCCATGTACCTGCAGCAAGGACCGTCCGCCAAAACGCAGACAACAAAACAATCAACGCCTTCTCATCAAGGTTCCTTTCTTGAAAGAAGAAGAAAGCATCGCCCAAGCTCTGACTTCTTGTCTTCCTGTCGGAGAATGTGGACAAACTTCTTTGTCTTAGCTGGAGCAAAAATATGCGAGTCTTTGAATCGTTGAAGTATATGTATCCTCAATTCTAGATGTCCTTTGCGCCGTGTAACAGGGAGTAAAATAAGTCTTCATAGGCAAGACGAGTTGTCGCATTATTTTTGATATATTATTTATAAAAATTAACGCAACCGATTAATCGGATAATTAATCGATTAAAGGGCGGCGATTAATCGGATTAAAATTTTTAATCGATGCCCAGCGCTAATCACATCCACTCAATCAGTAAGGCCGCCACGTTTCTCTTTCCACAAAATGCTTAGAGTCTGGACTTTGGGGCATACTGCATCCACATCATTGCACCAGGTCTCCTGCGAGCAGGGGAGCAGACAGATGTTACAGTGACCTTGTAAGCACCAAACATACGGTCCAGGCTTGACAGATGAGTGTTCAACATTTACGAATCTGAAATGCACACTGCACAGAGCCCGATTGTTGCAGCTAGTAAGCACGGCAGTGCTTAAAGCCAGCATGTGACATCATTGCACCCTGCCCATGATCCCCTAATGGCAGCTGACATGACATCAATGCAAGCTAGGTACTGGCTGTTTAAGAGGGCTAGCCGGACAGAAACTCTTTTTTTATAAATAAACAAATGACGCTAGTGCAATGAAACTCTTCACAAAGGTGTCTTTGGGTGGGGCTTTTATGGTACTCAGATTTCATGAGTATAGATTCTGGAAAAATAATTTAAGCTGAAAAATTCCTGTTTTTACCATACATGCTTGGATCTGCTTTTGGGTGTTCAACTCAAAGAAACTTTAATGATTTTGCTTCATGTCGTACCATCTGCGAGGAGCATCAACCAGACAGTTTTGCTGTTTTCCTCCTTGCGCGTAAGCAAAAAATTGACTTTTTACAGCTTAAATTTTTCAGCCAATACCTACGCTAATAGAATTGGGGCACAGTAAATGCACCATCTAAAAACGCCTTAGTAAAAGGTTTAACTGCACTCAGTTCATATATTTTTTTTTTTGTGCCAGAATAGAGCTAAAAAAATTATATTCACACAGAAAAAAAAAAAAAAAGTTGTGCAGGATAGTGCGCAGAATTTAACACAGATTAAAGCTTGATGCCGTGCCATGCAGTTCACCACCGAGCCGAAATGACGAGAGCGGCTGATGTCGGTGGCAAACGTTTGTGGCCGACGTCTTGCGAGACACTTAGAAAGCCCCGACTTTTACTTGCGACTAGCGACGTGCAACCACCGACGTTCACACTGCAAGCAATCGGCGAGTGGCTTCTCAGAAGCTCTTGAGAGCCGCCATCAAATCCATCATTCCCGTTGCAGCTTGGGTTTGCGTTACACTGCTTTCCCATTTTCATTGTCACGTGTTTCGTTTGCACCCCGAGAGAGAGACTTGCGGTGATATTGGCCTGGCGAGCTTCCGTGGACCTGTCGAGCCAAAAGCCGAAGATTTGCCGCCGGGCCGAGTTCCTTTTCGGTTGCTCGTTCAAATAGGGGTGCTACTCATTATAAAGAAACGGGTACTCTGACCAGAGCCGCCGCAGAAGACTTCTTTGCTCTGTATCTATGGCCGCCACCAGCAAGCCACTCTTCGGAAGCTATCACGAACCACCATCGATTCCATCCTCCCCACCACGGTTCACTGTTTCCCCATTTTCGTTGTCTCACAACTACATGTGTGTCACCGTTGCCATATAAAAAAAAGTCTCGTTATGTTGGCCTGGGCCCTTTGGAACCGTACAAAGAAGCACAATTGCTACATCGCTCTGCATTTGCTCGATTGACCGCATAGCAGTATGTGCGTATTGAGACAGAAGTGGCACGGGTTTGCAGCCAGGCCAAATTCTTTCTCGGGGCTCGTTCAAATCTAGGTGCTGCTTTTATATAAAAAAAAAAAGGATATTCTTTAATAGCTCTGTATCTACGACCGCCATTGCGAACCGAGGCTTGGGATGGACATGCTGGTTGTAAGAAAACGCGAGGTGCACCTGACTGCTTTAGCCGCCGGGCAACTCAGCAACCGATCGAAAAGATAAAAAAAATTGTTGCGCGAGAGATGTGATTTGCCAGTGGGAACGTGCCTTAAATGTGCGTTTGCACTTTTAAGTCGCACCTGTCGCGCGACAACTTTTGTCGCAAAAGCGACCGTCACAAGCTGCGAAAGCAACCGGTTTGGAACAGTCGCTTCCAGACCTATTTTTGCGACAAGTTACAGAGTCAATCAGCGTGCCTCGGAAATGACATGTGGTGTCAGCACTATTAAAGAAGACCCATTTCTTTATAAAAGCACAACCGCGATTTGAACGAGCGCTCCCAAAAATACTGTTTGACAGCAAATCCGTGCCACTTTCGGCTCGACGGGAATGTGCGGGGAGTTCCCGAATAAAAACAAAAGCAGTGTTTTTCGGCTCGGGTAAATAAACTAAGCATCACAGAAAGCTCGGACTTCATGAGAATGTGACTCTAGCAGTTGGGATAGAGTGCAAAAATTTGAGAACATGAGTCACCTAAATCAAAAGATAACTGAGACAAATAAATTTTTTTCTATGAGTAGGCGTTTTAAGAGTCAACAAGCCCAGCATCGTCAAAACAAGCAAAAACGCTTTAAAAAACTTGCAAGCAAGAAAGAGAATATAATTGTTCTTGCCGAGAAGCTTTTTCTTTCACTGAAACAGATATGCTACATGCTCCCAGTGTGTAACTTCTTGTTTTAAAGATACTACGCTTAGGCAGACGTCGGCCCGTAGAGAACTTTCGTTTTGCTCCATTCTCTTTTGATCCAAGTAACGTCATGCTCTCGAACTTTCGCATCGACGGCGGCTCCCGAAGGCTTTCGAGAAGCGACTCGCCGGTAGCGGTGTCTGCGGCTGCTCCGATCAGAGTACCCATTTCCTGATAACAAGCAGCACCCCTATCCGAACGAGCGCCCGAAAGAGAACTCGGCCTGGCAGAATGCTTTCAGCTCGACACCCCTGGTGAAGCTCGGGCGAGTGCACGCCGGTGTAGCGACTACTTTCATCGTACGCTTCCGAAGGTCTCAGGCCAATATCGCGAGTCTTTCTTTAGTGGCGGAAACAACGCACGAGAAAACGAAAATGAGAAAGCAGTGAAACACGAACCCAAGTTGGGACGGGAATGACGGAATCGATGGCGGCTGCCGAGAGCTTCCGAGAAGCGACTCGACGATCGCCCGCAGTCTGATCGGTAGTGGTCGCTTGACGCTGCTGCGAGTGGCAAGTGTGAACGCTTGGGAACAGTACCTGTTTGTTGAATAATTCGAGAAGCCTCTCTACATCTCTGTACGAATGTTCATAATAACACAGACTCCACTTGTTGCTTTGTTTTCAAATGCGAACCGCTGCCTGGATGCACAACGGCTCAGAACGGCTGTATTAGCCACCCTAGCTGTATGGCTGTATCCAGCTGTATCCTTTATAGCGGGTGGTAGCTTGCGCCACCTAGCCAAAAACAACAAAAGCCAATAACGCTTGCGGTATGCGCCTTTTTTACCCAGACGGAGCGAGACCGCGTCGTGTTCATTGATCCCTCGTTCGTTTAGCATTCTTTTAGAGCACCAGCCGCACCGCGTGAAAGTGAAGTTGATTTCACGTTCAAAGACTTCTCTACTCAACAAACAGGTACTGTTCTCAAGATTGAATCGTTAGGTGCGAGACGATAGCTTTGAAATAAGGGAGTGTCTGCTTCCAGCATCACATTCTCACGGAGCTTGAGCTTGAATCCCTCTCACGGCCGTGACTTCATGTGAGACTGCTTCAACGTCGACTTTTCGCGCTTTTGCGCACGAGTAGCGTCATCTGAGGTCGTAAAAACAGCGCGCTCGCCTGACCGTTTTAAGCATTAAATGGACCATGTAAAATTAAAAGGAGACTCGCAAGTAAAGGAATAATGAATCAATGCAGCGATGCAAGCGAGTTGGTTCATGATTACAAACTGGTAGCAGCGCGCAAAATATACACAAAGGGTGGAATGGGCAAGACGAGCGTCGAACTTCAACTGAACGTTTAGTGAAAGGCTGTCAACAGTGCCGTTCGACGGCACTCCATCGCGCCTTCAGGTGCCGCTCACGCTTATGCTGACACGGTTCCATCAGCCGTTTGCCGACTATCCGTAAAGAGCGAGCAAGTCAAACGCCACAAAAATAAACAACATAAATTTAATAAAAAAAAATTAATCTCACGTTTTGCAGTGGCAACAGCAACCTCTACAAAACACACAAAAAAACTTTATTCATTTCCATTTTGGTGAGGAAGGAAGAGTAGCGGAGCTGTACTATGTGACACTGTCGCTCATAGATGGCGGTAGCTGTCCAGAATGTTGTGTCAAGATTTATTTGTCCACGGACACGAAATTGGGAGAAACTATAGCCCGTAACAGTTCCGCTGTAAAATATCATAAAACTTTTTCGTAGGGCACGCATATTGAACCTGAATATTTGTGAGACCATAGCTGGGTCATAGAGTTATTATAATGTGCGCTAGAGGTTCAAGTGGCGCTAGAGTGCTGACGCAAATTGAAGCAGACAGCAACCAGTCGAAAATTGACTTCCGGTAATGCATTTCTATGGGAAAAAGTGACTGCATTTTCTCTCTGCGCTCGATCATAAGAGCAAATATCCCGAATGATTCGTACGCACTAGATTGTTTGGAACATTTCTGTGTCAGGCCAACGAAAGGATTGGTCAGTTACGGCGTTTTTCTTTCGAATTCATCGCACTAAAAACGGTGCTAAAACGGCTTCGTACGTGTATTTATGTGCACTGTCGGACACTGTTAGCGCGAACGCGGCGTCGGCGATTTCCAGCGTGGGGGATATACATGCTAAACGAACGAAGGACGAAAATTAAGGGAGACAGCAAAAACTATGCATCAACACTGGATCAGTAACTCGCAGTGCATGTACGATCAAAATAAATTGAAGGCCACGTAATCTATTCCGATTTTAAATAGGTGAGTACCGCTTTATTCTTTCTGCCCTGAGCGAAGCTGCTTGTTATACGTTCAGAATATCACCCGCGCATCGATATGTTTGAGAACAAGTGCGCGATAAAAGCTGCCCGGCAGAGAAAACAATACGAAGAGACACCTTTCATAGCCCACGGACTTTATTCTCTACGTTTTGAAGGTTTTTATCCGCTCATGTATGACGGGATCATTTTCATTTGGCTACAGGGCAGGCATATCATCAATATATAAGCGTCACCGGAATGCTGGCGAGCCTTGAACACACTTCATATTCATTTCGATTGTAATTTTGCATTGAATCGTCGCTTGTTTTTACACACCTACTGCGGAACACACGTTTGGGACTGAAATGTAGCGATGTTAAACATAGCTCACTGATGAAGAAACATGCGCTAAGTAAAGTAATTACTCTTTGACAATGTTAATTAAGACACATATTATTCGGTACGACCGAAATGACCAAAGTGTTCCATGTTATTTTCCGGCGAAGAGATAAAATGCACGCGCGTTTTCCCATAGGAATGCACAGGAGCACCGCAAAAGTAGACTGGTTGCTGTCTGCTTCAATTTGCGTCACGGAAGTCGCATAGACACTAGCGCCAGTTGAACCTCTAGCGTACATTATAATAACTCTATGAGCTGGGTATCCTAACCATTATGCAGCAGGAACGAGTCGGGGATGTCATTTGTTGATTTTAAAATGTTTGTTATAAAGAAAGTTTTATGGAATAATTCACAAATTATTCACATAATTAGCAAATTTAGCACACAAAAATAGCATGGCAAAAGTAGGCAAGCAAGACATTCTTCACTAATGGACGTCATTTGCTCGGTAGGACTGCACCAAATGCGGGCATAAAGTGCCATCGGACGACAGTCTAGACACTGCATTAATGAGAAGAAAACACTCAGGTTAACAACCAACACCGTCATAGCGTCAACCCGTGCTCAAAAAAGTTGTCTCTTTCTTGTGTAGGTACAAAGATGTTTGACACAGTTATCACCGTCCTTTCCTATCTTGCAGCTTCCAGCGATTCCCCCGCAGTTTTGTCAGACCCTTTGCTCAAAGTTGTGATGCTGTCGAAATTCGGCTGACGCGTGTGACGCAGAGTAAAGGAAGATGCCCCCCAGTGGTACACTGCAGCGAAAGTGCATGTTCGCATGCTAGGATCATTCACAGGTCGGCCAGTCCGGCCTGTTATGTATACTTGGCCGCAGTTCGGCGGAATACGATAGCCCACCCCAACTGTGCACTCAACGTACTTAATGCTGGGATTTACCGCACATTTGTTGCCTCTCCCTCTTCTGTCAGCCATTCTGGGGTAATTGCGACACCTTACTAGACGCCGAAAAGAAAACTCTTACATCGTAGCGCCCCACTTAATGTTTTTATATTAGGGACTTTTCGTAGACCATGTTTCCCCCTTCAAGCCCTCCGCAATGGTAAAGCCACTACTGCGCCTATGCGCTGATGGCCTCAATTGACTGTAGAGTTCAGTGTATCGTAGCGGGTTGCGAAAAGTGTTGCGAGATGGCAAAAACAATCTATGGAAACTCCCTATTATCAGAGATCTTGTGTATATAAGAGATTACTTCTGGTCTCTTGATCATTCTCTACACGCACCCTTACTACAAAATTCAATTGGGAAACTCGCCCTTGAAACCCGGACCGCTCGCGTCCACTGAGGCCATACTAAATACAATAACAGCGCCTCCCTTTATCGACTAGTCAGAACATAGAAGTTCATTTATATTGCTAGTGCGAAATGGCACTGCGAGATGGCGCCACCGGAGGGGGGGGGGGAGGAGGCTGGATTGATGTTTTGTAGGGTCTTTGACTGATTCGATAGTTAAAAGAAGGCTGAGGGAAACGCAAAGTGGCTTAGCAGGGCAAGGGGAGGAACCATACTTTTGGTCCTTTTTGGTTTCTAGGCTCGGTGTCTAAAAAGTTCACCCATTAGCATCCATTCATCCCCCCAACAAGAATATCCATTGCTAGCCTTCTGCCTTCGATCACACTTTCGTGTCTTGTAAGACCCGAGCGTGTTCGCACAGGTGAAGCACGGCAGAAGGCAACCAGCGCTGCTGGGGGCCAAGCATACAAAAGGGACGTGCCTTGCCCCTCTCACCCATTCAGTGGCAAAAATAATTTTTAAATTCGGTTGGCGAAAATTGAGGTACTCTAAATGGCTCAAAGGCATTGGCTGCAAACATTTGCCACCCACTTTCAGCATCTTTCCCGATTTCAAATTTTTCTACTTGGTGCCTTGCCTGTGGCCTGAAATGAAGGCTGCAAACTTTGGCTTTGCTACACACTTAGCATTTTGTTATTTTTTTTCTTTTGTGGAAATATATACGTGGCAAAGATTGCTGTCGCATCAGCTACCATTGTGGTGGTCTTGCTGCTGAGTGTACAACCTTCTGCACTATTCATTTCGCACCACCAAATTCGTTGTCGTCGGCAAGAACAATTGTGGAGTGACCACCGACATGGTGTGATGACGTCACGTGGAAGCTCCTAAAAAAAATTACAGGGTTTTTCTCACTCCAAATTAAGCTATGCATTGGCGGGTGCTCAATCTCCTTCTTAATGTAATGCTAGCAGGCTAAACCAGGTGCCAAAGTTTCTGAACTAACCGTTATCTAATTCACAAGTTGTTTGTGGTCTTCTGAAATTTTCACTGAGAAAGTGGCAGAATACGTGGAGCTGTATGGCGCCAGTAACCGAGAAGGGCTCATCTCATTTTTCTCTCTGTATATTTTGAAAATCACTTATAACCTTTTAATAAGATAAAAGTTCTGAAGCTCTGGCATCTGGATCGAACCACTAGCGCTTTTTGGGCAGAGACTGAGCGCTCGGCAATGCATCATTTCTGTGGTGAAAAAGAAGAGAAAATTCTTTCGGGAGATAAGCTGTTGTTTTAATTTGATTACTAGCTGCAATGATCAGGTTTTACGTGGTTTACATTTGAGGTTTGTAAATGTTGAACACTCGTCAATGAAGCTTGGACCATAGATTTGATATATACAAATGCACTGTAACATCTTCTCTCTTGCTTGCATGAGACCTGGTGCAGTGATGCAGATGCAGCATCTTGCAAAGTATATATCGCTCCATTGGAAACTATATATGATTGCTTATTACTTTTAAGAGGAGATGCGGTTAAGAAAACATTAAGCTTTTGCAAAAAAATGGATGTTAGGTTTTAGGGTGTTTAATTGTCTTTGAATGTTCTTATTTAATTATGCAAATATTAAGGACCAGTTATAATTGCAAAATTAGTGAAATAAACATTTCGAAAAACTGAGAACTCGGTACTGCATAAATTTGAGCCATTTTTGTGTGCGGTTCTTCTAATGGTCGTTTTTGCCATCAAAGTGTCTCCGCTCCATCGCACATTTCTGTAGCTTCAATTTCTCACAAAATAATATTAAAAATTATTTTTCCCACTGTGGAAGGGTGTCGCTACGCATCTACGGTAACATTGAAAGACATTTTTCTCTATGTAATTTTGGAGCATCTTCTCAAAAGCGTGCTAAATTTTTTATTTTTTTTTTAACATTGTCCTATACAACCAAATTTGATATGCTTTACAGTAAATTAATTGCAACTATCTAGGTTTAATTAGAATATATATTTTTTATATTTATAAAAACATTAAGAAACATTTTTTAGCCCTTCGAATTGGGTGTTTTTGCGGTTTTCATATATTTTAAAAAAGGATAAATTTATCACTGTATTTTTCTTGTTCATCACATTCACTGGTTTAAAAGAAGAAAATTTGTTTATTGTACTAGGCTCTTTTAAGTGTGTTGTCACAGGTCCCACATGTGTGCAAGAACATGCTTTTATCTGCACGTTTAGAGCTTCCAAAACATAAGGAAAAAGTTACATCAAAACTAACACAAGAGTCATATAAAGGAGATCAAGCATTATAAGTTGTGGAATTTTAATTCAATTATTTGAAATAATAAAAAGATAGTTTTCTCTGGTGCAACACTTAACTTATTTGAGAAAAGAGGAACATGGCAGTTTTCCTAAAAGTTTAGTGTTGCACCAGGTCTCATGCAACACTAAACTTATCCGAGGGTTCTGTGGTTCAACTAATTTACAAAACTAATTTAGCATTAATATAGGGACACCTAATGGGTCCCTGCCACACAGTTACCTCTGATATTGTATCATGCAAGTCCCAACTCCTTCAACCATTAGTATTTTTACCGTACAAGCAATGCAAAAATGAACAGGTTATTTGAGATGCCTTTGAACTCTAAAGGCTTAACCGCCTGTAAGCGATTTAGCGAGCAACGAAACGGGCGACAGCGAAGAGAGTCAGCGGCGAGCGACGGAGATTTCTGTCTGCCGTTCGTCACGTGTCTCAATTTTTGGATTTCTGGAAAATGTCGCTCATCGCCTTGGTCACTTGCTCCCGTCGTTTTCATGTGCTTGGAGGGTGTGCTCACTTTATTCTTAGTTACTTTCATTTCTCATTCCATTTGGTTTCTAGGATCTCAAGCGGTCCTGTGCGTCCCTCCTGTGCATGCCTCTTGATCTTGCCCGACTCCTCACAAACCTGACCTTGGGCAGCGATTCAAATGGAACCAATTCAGTCCTCAAGTCGTGGTGAGTTTTCTGTTTGGTGGTACCTCTTTTATAAACAGGGCAGTGACTGTGTCTAGACTAAAGGCAGTCATAATCTAGAGCAGCGCTTCTTGTAGAGCTGTCCACACACACCTAGGGGTCCGTGCCGAATCAGAGATCCCCCACCGGGGGAGCTAAGAGCCCAGATGAAAATGTGCAGAGTGATTAGATTTTTCTTTGAGGAGAGGGAGGCAAGCAGCAAAATTGAATTTGAGGAGAGGTTCATGGTAGCCGCAAATTGACTTTGGGCAAGCTAAATGTTGGGCTCCTATTGGCGGCGCGCGTGAACTACAGGGGGCGCTTCTCTAGCTATATAATCATTGTTTGTGATGTCACGGGTAGGAGAGTCTGTGACAGACCGCATACATCTTGGATCCTTTGGCTCGTCGGCTCGCTTCATGCGCTGCTTGGGTAACACGCGACGATGCCTGTTTCACGCATTGTGTTTATTTGGTATTGTGATATTTGTAGTAGGACATTTTACCAAAGCTTGAAACCATGGCATGCGAAGTCATGCTAACATTTTTGACGCTGAGGTGTAAAAGCGCTCAAATGGTGCTGTGCTGTTCTTTACCTCAGTACAAAAAACTGGATGACGAAAATAGGATATCCAGCGCCTTACCTCACTACGTCTACCACAGCAAATAGGCTGTATTTTTTATTATGATTTGGACTAAATAAAACTGAGAAAGAAATGTCTCACTACATTGAAAATAGAAAAGCGAAATTCGAGAGCCTTTCGTGTATGTTATAAACACTCCAGTGAAAGCGACTCCACGTATCTTGTTGGTTCCAACATGTTTTGTGGGTGCTGGTCTCTTATTAGTTCCAAGTTGATTCCTTTTTGACTTTTGTGAACCAGGGTACAAACATTTCCTCAATATGACTGGCAGGGAGAAGCGGTGGCTGACTTCCGGAGTCGTTTCAATTAAATCCCTGCTTATTCACCCGGTTGATGCGAAATGCGTGAGACCCCCTCGCACTCGAAGTCTTAGTTGGTGACACTTCAGCATCCCAAAAACTGAGATTTACACCTGCTATGAATTACTAGTGTTGTATGTTTAATTTTGTGGACCCAAATGCACATAATGCATGATGCACTTCTCAGTGAGTGCTTTTAATTTTGTAAACAATTTTTAGTGGAAACTGGATAGAACAAAAATAATTAATTACCTTAATTTGCCTAGCCATGTCAGACAATTTAAGAGCTTATGAAAATTTCTGCTTTTCTTTCGAGCAGAAGTCGCGGTGTGACCAACTTCTTGTGATGTTCGCGGTCAGACACAAGCATGAAGCGGTAGAACGCAGCGAAGTGCCTTATTCAGCGGCATCCAGGCTCTTCTTTTTTGTCGCACATGGCAGTGTGGTCTTTTTATAGCCCACTGGTTACGTTATTCGTGTCTCCAGCTCATTGCTCGCCGTCCCACAGCGGAAACGGGAAACGCTCTAGTGAGGGTCCCCCGATTCTCCTGCTCAGCGGCATGGCAGAGCTGCTGCAATCATGGCTCGCAGAATGTCATTTTCGAATGCAAACAACACTCTTCACTGTTTCAACGTAGTGCTGCAGCCGGTATGGGATTGTACGTTATTAGAGAGTTTTAGTATTGCATATAACAGCAAACGCTGTGCGTTTGCGTTAGGGTTGAGTGCTCCACGTTGCGCATGCGCGTCATCGCCATGCGCCAATCCAAGACTGCAATTTTTGGCTCCGCGCACGCGCAGCGTGGAACACGCCAATCTATCGCAAACACACCGTGCTTGCATTCGCTCGTATACGAAATATTAAAACTCACTACTGTTTCACCGGTTTTCTAAAGCCAATGAAACATGCTGCAGTGAGCAGACGTGCGAGAAGGTAGGCGTTCTTTCAAACTGGAAAGGCTGAGGTTGGCAAAACGACGGCGCATAGAAATGAACGTAATTAAAAGTTATAAAAAAACTGGCTAAAAAAAAAGGAAAAAATTTGAGGAAAAGGGGGGGGGTGGCATTGGTCTGGAAGGATATTGCCGGCGACTTTGGAAGTTTTGCCGATTGTCAAAAGTCGCGACTTTGATAGCACCATATGCTTTACCCACAAATAATGTGATTTTACTGGGATTTCTCCGATTAGCTAGAATGTTTCATTGTTTTTAAAATATTTTTTTTTATAACTTGGTAGTTAAAAATGCTGCAATTTGCACCAGTAATGATAATTAGGACATGTTTCATTGTCATACTTCTTTGCGACTTTGAAACTGAATCATAAGCAACAAATCATGCTAGAGCTTGAAAAAATATGCAATAAAACATCCTAATTCTAATATTATTATTAATACAAATCGCGGCAATGCATGCCCCCAATTAACACCGTGATCAGAAAATTATGTCATTTAATCATAATAGCCTTTCCAGCAAGATCTCATTTTGTTGTCTTTTCATCATATGAAAAACTGACATTGTTATCAAGATATACCAAGAGTCAAACACTGGATGCAATTTGAAGTCCTTTGTGTAACATGTTGCTTTAAAAACACACTTCAGCTGTCTGACTCGGATTCCGTCTTTGGGGTTTTCTAATGAGAACAGCGCTTGTTAATTTTTTTGTAACATTTTGTAAAAATTGGATTTATTCTGTTATGCTTGTGCTCGGAATAATGTTAAAGCAATTAAACATCTAAATATTCAAAAACCCATTAAAAGGCCCACGGTTTATTATATCTCATGACAATTATCTGAGCGAGAAAAGGTAGCAAGAACACACAAATATCAGCACTGACTTTTTCTCCAAATACAATATTCTATGCTACCTCTATGGTGCATGAAAAACCCGGTCTTTACAGGGACACTGAAATCTCCGAAACATTTTGAAGTGCCTGGATCAAACAAGTGTGTCACAAAATAAAATTTCCGTGAACTAAATAATTACGATGTTTAATTTTTTAACTTTAACTAAATAATTATGATGCGAGACACATCTCGAGTTATGAAACAATCCAAAATTAAGACCTATACCAAATACCGTGGAAGCCAATACTGGCAACTCCCGCGGAAAACGGGCGAAAAGTGATTGCAGCGCCCCTGGCGAGCTGGGAGTCTCCGCTAGCAGACAAATTCTCCAAAATGCATTGGTTTTGCCTATCTCCGTGCGAGGTGACCAACGAAAAAAAATTGTCACGGACATTCGCTGCTTTGAAAGTTAAAAAATGGGTGCCAGCCCATGAGTGAAGGACATTCTCTTCGCGTGGGAAAGATGTTACAGCTTTCTGGGTGCAATTTCGGAGTTCTCCCGAAGAAAACATTCTGTCACAACTTATGTAAGCCAAGCAAAACACGAATGTATGCCTTCGCGCTGTTTCGTGAAAAAGGGAAATGTACAAATATTTCAGAACATAGCTTCGTTTCAACTTTATTGTTCTTATCAGTCAATTCGTTTTGTCGTTGCAATTCCCATTTCTCATGAATGTCTTGCTTATAACCGTTTCGTTGAACAGGCGAGCTGGCTAATCCCGTTAAGATCGTCTCCGGATGAAGAAGCAGAAGTCAATTTCGAACCACGTACGTTACGGCGATGTCAGTATGCTCCGAAAGAAGTCGTTGTGCATATGCAAATCTGACGCGATTATAGATTAACAAAAGCAGAGTTACGAAAAAAGCAGACTTCTCGCGCTTGCAAAAAAAGAAGGGGAGAGCGTCGTAGCCCCGCGAAAAAAGGTGATTTCAGTCACGTTATTTACAGTACACAAATTCCGATTGTTAGCGCGGGGACGACCAACATCTTCTGCTTCGCTGCTTCTTTACTTCTACGATAAAGGCCGACACCCGTTGAACCGTCTCCACTCTTTCCATTTTTGAGTCTTCTTTCTTTTATATTTTTGAGGCGACGCCACTCTGCCGCGTTATTTCTTCCTCCTGCTTATATGTTGCTGTGTATATTTTTTGTTTGCTTTTTGCTTCTTTTTTTTTGCCCGACGTGTAAACTATCGCGTACCTTGCTTTGTTTGGCTTAGTTTTTACTCCCTTTCCTTCGCTTCGGCGCTTACTATCCCCGGTTCGTCTGCGCTAGGCCCGGGCATTTTGAGGGCCGTCTGCAACTTTGCTGTTGTTGTTGTTGTTTTCTTCCACTGTCGTCTGCGATAACCTCCTATTTTCGCCTTCGATTGAGTTTCTAATCTAAAATAGTCATACGTGCTTTTCGATATTTATTAAATATATTAAGAAGTGTAAGCCCGTTATACATTTTTATTCGAATTTTATTTGTGTACTCCGGCCGGCACGTCTGCTACGGGTCATCGTTTGTTGATCAACCAGCCGCATTCGAGCATACACCAGACCATACTTAGAGATGGCAGGCATGCTATGTGCTGCCTACCATTGCAAGAACAATTTTGTGCGATGTGGTGGAAAATCTTTCTTCTGCTTCCTACGTCAACCTACGGACACCTACGTCAACAAGTACTTGAATGTACTTTTAAACTGCTTCGTCAAGCGAGCGAACGAACAACCCGCCAAAGTCACTGGAAAAATAAATTCGAAAGCAAAAAAAGGTTACTCACTGCTAGCACATATAGAAGATTGTTGCCTGCGACCAAAACATTTCTGTGACACTTTTTTACCGGGCAGTGTGAGCTGCACTACGTTATTTATTTCCCCTGTTTTGTTTTTAGTTTGTACCTACGCCGCGAAAGCAAATATAGAAATGTACAACAAGCAGCTGAAAAAAAAGGGACGCTTTCTTCTTTTTTCATTAGTTTCGTCTGTTGCTTCCGCTTTGTTTGTCGTGAACTCAACACCGGTGGCGACCACCAGCTATTTATAAACGAAAGGGGGACAAAGCGGACATAAACAACTATCGTCCTGTAACGGTGACGTCAGTGATTTACAGGGTGGTGATGCAGATTATAAAGGATAGACTGCAGGCATGGGTGGAGAGCGAGGGGGTGCTGGGGGAGCTGCAGAATGGGTTCCGGAAGCAAAGGAGGTTAGAGGACAATCTGTTCTCTTTAACGCAGTGTATCGAAATAGCAGAAGAGGAACAAAGGCCCCTATGGCTAGCGTTTCTGGATATCAAAGGAGCCTACGACAGTGTAATCCAAGAGAATTTGTGGGGCATACTGGGTACATTAGGGGTAGAAGCTGGAGTAACTAATCTTTTAAAAGATATATATAATAGCAACAAGGTGCTTATAAAATGGGAAACAAATGTATCGGAGCCTATAGAGATAGAGCGGGGGCTTAGGCAAGGCTGCCCTTTGTCGCCTTTGTTGTTCATGTTATACTTACAGGGATTGGAGAACAAACTAGAGCGGAGCGGGTTTGGCTTCAACCTTTCTTTCATCAAGCAAGGTGAATGGATTAAACAATCACTACCGGGGCTGATGTATGCAGATGATATAGTGCTAATGGCCGACAACAAAGAAGATTTGCAGAAATTAATGGATATCTGTGGTACAGAGGGAGATAAACTAGGTCTTAAATTTAGTCAAGAAAAATCGGCAGCGATGATTTTTAATGATAAAGATGGTGGCGAGCATAGGATACAAGAGGTCATGTTGGAGGTAGTGGATAAGTACAGGTATCTTGGGGTATGGATAAATAATAGTGTTGAGTATCTAACGGAGCATGAAAAACATGTAGCGATGAAAGGTAGCAGGAATGCAGCCGTCATGAAACATAGGGCTCTGTGGAATTACAGTAGGTATGAAGTGGTGTGGGGGATTTGGAAAGGGCTCATGGTTCCCGGCCTGACCTTCGGCAATGCGGTCCTGTGCATGAGACCAGATATTCAAGCAAAGTTAGAAATTAAACAGCGGGGCGTAGGTAGGCTTGCTTTGGGAGCTCATGGAAATACGCCGAATCAGGGGGTACAAGGCGACATGGGATGGACGTCATTCGAGGGCAGGGAAGCTAGCAGCAAGATAGAATTTGAGGAGCGTTTGAGGGAAATGGAGGAAGAGCAGTGGGCTAGGAAAGTTTTCAGTTATTTGTACATGAGGAATGTAGATACCAAATGGAGAAAGCGAACTAGAAAATTATCAAGCAAATATTTGGGCGGCAGTGGGGGCGCCAACCAAGAATTACGGGTTAAGAAAAGGATAAAAGAAACAGAGAAGGGTCTGTGGGAAACGGGTATGCAGACAAAACCAGCACTGGAGACGTACAGAATGTTCAAACAGGAAATTTGCAAAGAAAATATCTACGATAATTCTAGGGGAAGCTCTTTGTTGTTTGAGGCCAGGACAGGAGTATTGCGGACTAAGACGTACCGGGTTAAGTACCAGGAGATGGACACTTTATGTAGTGTGTGTGGGGAGCAGGAGGAAACGGCTGAACACTTAATACTTTTCTGTAAAGGGCTTCACCCAACAGTTAACAGTGACCGGGCGGATTTAATCAAAGCATTGGGTTTTAAAGACAGTGAAGGAAAAATAGACTTTACACGGGTAGAAATAACCAAGCGGAGGTTATCAGACTGGTGGCTAAAATCGAGGCAGGGGTGAGATTTAATCTTGGAATTCAAAACATATAATTAGATTTATAATGTTGGCTAGGTGGCGCAAGCCACCGCCCGATTCACAGGGTTTAGCCAGATCCATCCATCCATCCTTTGCTGCTTTCCATTTTTCTTTCTTTTTTTCTATAAGCGCCGCAACGATCGTCGTCGTTGAAATAGTTTTTTGCTAGCTTCTTTGTTTTATTCGCCGTTGTTCGCCTCTTTCCCTTTTCTTTTTATTTTCGTCGGGAATGGCGACACCATCTTTTCTGCAAAGTTCGGTAAGTGTTTGCACGGTCATCTTTATCTTTACTTTTTGTTTTGTTTTTATGCTCCAGCAGCTCGTGCGCTTGCTCGGGTAATATTAACATGTCGTTTTTGCATATTTTAATAATTACGACGTAGTTTGAGTAGCTAAACGCCTTTTTTTCGCTTCCCAGACGCTTTTCAAACGCGTGTGATCCCCTGAGAGGCGTTTGAGACCGCTAAATAAACTGCTCTATCTTTGTTTATGCGCGCGTTGTTATTCGATTGTCGTTGCAGTTGAGATCAGTGGATTCCGCTTTGCAAGCGAACTGACCGTAATAAATTGTTTCTGCTGTTAGGGTGACAATACGGGGCTCGTAAAGCTCGAGGACGTCGCGGAGCCTATACTTTTCCATTGCGACGACTGCTTCCGTAGACTCCGAGTCCGCTAGAGGCGCCACTGTCACGTTCGCCGCCGCTCCTATGTGTTTTCGGAGGAGTTTCCAGTATTGGCGAAGCTATATCGTATTTGCCTATACCGAGAAATGAAATCCAAAATGTAGGTTATTTTCAGTTTTGCTCCAGAATTAAAACGTGCCTCCTGGCGTAAATATTATGCTAAACACCGTTCTTGTTCTTAGGATAAAGAAGTAACTTGCGCTCGTAACACTCTAGCTTCCTCGTATTGCCAGAAATATTTTGTGTCGCTCAGTGAAGCCAGCACACTAGATAGGCTCCCTGTGTCGTCTCCAAATACAGGGCCCATGTGGTGTCCGCACCTTGACCTCGTGGAACACTGGGCCCATTCTCTGAAGGACTGTAGTATGCAGCCGTCTCGGTACGCTCTTGGTTTTCCAGGTCTTTCTCCACAGGGCCACAACATGTAGCTTCGGGCGAGTTCCTTGCTCCGCTCAATTCCTGTCTGTCCCTGGTGCAGCTCCTTCAGGACCAGCTTTTGCAATTTCGGTGGCACGATCACTTTCATGCTGTCCATCAGTCATAATTTGTGAACCGTGAACTCCCTGCGCCTCTCAAAATAGGGTTTGAATCGTTTGTCGTCATGGTGAGAGGGGCAAACCTTCTTGATGAAGTCCATTACAAGACTGCAAACTGGATCACGCTCTGTGTGACGTGCCATGCCCTTGCTGGTTACTGGTAGGGATGCTAAACATGGTGTGTAAAATGTCTCGGTTTAGCTGTTGCCTTCATCTGTAGTCTCTAACGGGAGTCGCGAGAAACAGTCCCCGTCCACGTTTTCCACTGATGTTATATATAGCAGTTGGTGCCTGTAAGCTGAAAGCGTTGCAGCCTATCGTTGAAGTCTTGCTGCGTCTATAGCCGGGATGTCGCTTTTCGGCCCAAAAATTGTTTGTAATGGCTAATGGTCTGTGATTAAAGTAAATTCCCGACCACAGATGTAGAAGTGAAATTTTTTTACTCCAAAAATTAAGGCTAGCGCTTTGTAAGTCTGGCTATAGTTCTCCTCTGCTTTCGACAATGTTCTGGAAGCGTAAGCGATTGGTCTTACCGCACCATCCTTCATAGCGTGTGACAGCTCTGCTCGGAGGCCACAAGCCGACGGATCGCAAGAGAGCTGCAGTGGCCGTGCCGGGTCAGTCTGTCAGCACCTCCACTGATGGCAAGACTGCCTTCATGGCTTGGAGGAAGCCTTGACATCTGTGATCCCAGCTCCAGGAGCTTTCTTTCTGTAAAAGCCTGTAGGAAGGTTTGGCAAGCGTCGCTAAACATGGCGTGAACTTCCCGTAATATTCAATGTGACGAAGCAGCGAACGCAGCCGTGCGATAGTGTTTGGAGGTGAGGCATTCAGGAGAGCTTGTACTTTCTCATTTGAAGGCTGCACTGCTGCCTCAATAATGATGCATCCGAGGAACTGTTCCTTGAAGAACTCTCCCTTGATGTGGACACCTCTGCGAGGGTCTGAAATACTGCTTCAAGGTTCCTGAGGTGTTCTTCAGCAGTAGCGCCTGTGACTAAGATATCGTCTAAATAGCATTTGGCACATGGTAGTCCTTTCAACATGTTCATAATTCGTTCGAACAACGCAGGTGCAGGTGCTACTCCAAAGGGATGTCTGTTCACAGCAAACAATCCTTTGTGCGTATATAACGTGAGTAGCTTTTTAGACTCGTCTGACATTTCTACTTGGTGGTAGGCCCTGTTGAGATCCAGCTTCGAAAGGCATTTGTCATTGGCAAGCGCGGCTAGTATCTCGTCAAGCTTGGGCGGCGGGTACCGCTCAGTGTCTAAGACAGGGTTGAGGGTTGTTTTGTAGTCTCCGCACACACATACAGTTCTCCGTCTTTTTTAACAACCGGGACAATAGAAGTGGCGAACTCGCTTCTGGACATTTGCGTAATTAGCCCCATTTGCTCAAGCCTTCGTAGTTCTTCCTCTAGTGCTGCACATAGTGCATAGGGCATGTTTCTCAGTTTGAAGAACTTGGGGCGGCTTTCTTTCAAGAACAAAGTAGCTTGCTCACCTTCAATCTTGCCAAGGGTGCCGTCAAAGATGACGCTGTACTATGCTCGAAGTTCTCTTAAATGTGCCTCGTGCTCGTCGTGGCTTGCCTCAAGCTGAGACCCAATAGACAGCTTATGCACAGCGCATATGTTTTCCCAATCCAAGCGAAGGTTAGCGAGCCACTCGCGACCGAGTAGGGGTGGCCCGCTGTGGTCAACGACGTGGAGGGGAGGGACGTGCAGTTCGTCTTTGTACCGCACGGATGCATAGACGACACCACAGGGTTGCACGATGTCAAGTTAGTTGTGATTCAGAGATGTTAAGTAATCGCACAGAGACAATTTGGATGCGTTTAAATAACCTTTCACTGGGAAACGAAAGAAGATTGAATAAGAAGGAATATGTGCAATGCTAATTATGTTATTCGAGCACAAAAGTCTTACTTAACGCATACATACTGTTGTTGATTGGTAGAGTGAGGAGACCGTCGGGCAGTCAGCAAGGTGGTCAGATGGTTAGGTCGGAGGGCAGTCCATCAGTCGTTCGAGTCGAGCAGTCAGTCACTTAGGTAGCCGGGTAGTCAGAGAGTCGGATGGAGTCCGGGGCTTAAGGTTCCGATTGTTGTCGCCGGTTGCTTTCTGCGCACCTCAGTCGACCTCGTAAAGGCCGGCACCTCGAGCGCTTGGAAGCAGCGCAATCGTATCTCTCGGGGTTTGAGAACCTTGATGGAGGTCGATGGTGTTCGTCCCAGATGGTATGCGACTCGACTTCGACTGTCTCGAAGCCTGCGTGTCGCCCCCTCTCACGAGCACCTCATCCTCTTTTTTTTTTCCCTTCCGTTCTCTTTTTTTCTCTTCGCTCTCTGTCCGGCAACAACCATGAGACGGCCCCCTGTCTTCAAGTTTTTTTTTTCTTTTTGAAAAAAAAAAACAAAAACAGCTAACCTATGTGCGTCGGCTGTGGACAGAATATAATGCACAGAGTCCAGCAGTTTAGCACAAATGTTTCAGTTCGGGGTCAAACAACTAGCCACAACTGAGCCCGGTGCACACATGCAGTTCAGAATCTATAATTCGCGGAAACAAATCAGATCTAAATTTCCTCAAGTCAGGTTGTATACGAGGTCACTTTACACGCTATATTTAACTTTGAAATATTTTACGACACTAATCTTTGAAATTAAATCATCAACAGAGACTGAAAAGGTAAGGCCGTACCAACTCCACAAAATGACAAAAACATGAGAAATAAAATACGAATACGGCTGGCCAGTAACTTCTCTTTATAACTGATACAGAAATCAGACACCTCACCCTATCTTGACTTAACGCCCTAAATAGTGCCATTAACCGCTACTATTCTATGAATATTATACACGGCTGAGGTAGTCACCGCCCACGTTTTCAACTCCCTTAATATATTGAACTGAAAACTCATACTCCTGCAAAAGCAAACTCCACCTCAGCAGCCTGCTATTTGAAGCTTTCATTTTGTTTATATGCTGCAAAGGCTGGTGGTCGCTTTGAACTACGAATTTCTTGTCCTACAGATAAAGGTGGAACTTTTGAATGGCCCAGACCAAGGCTAGAGCTTCCTTTTCAATGGTGGCATAGTTCTTCTCCCTGGGTAGCAATATCCTGCTAGCACACGCGATAGGATGCAAAAACAACTCATGCTTCTGCATTGAGATAGCTCCGAGAACAATCTGTAGCGTCAGTTCGAGGTACAAACTTCCTGGTGGGATCCACTGCTTCCAGGATCGGTCCCTCTGATAGTGCCTTCTTCTATTCGTGGAATGTCTTTTTTTGCCTGTTGGTCCCAACAGACGTTCTGTCTTTTTTGTCAGTTCATCCAAAGGCAAGCTTTTTTCTGCATAATTCACAATGAACTGCCGGTAATAACCGGTGAGTCCCAAAAATGACCTCATTTGTTTTTTCGTTGTGGGTCGCTGAGATCCCACCACCTTGTCCAAAGTTTCCGGAAAAGGGGCGAGCTCACCGTTTCCTAGTCAATGTCCAAGAAAAGTGACGTGCCTCATTCAAACTTCACATTTGCTAGGCTTTACGGTTCACCCCGCGTCCACAATCCTTTGAAAAACTCGCTAGAGTTCAGGCTGTCACAAAAGAAAATTTACACGGTCTTTTTTAACGTAAAAATAAACTAGGCATCGCCGAACGCTCATTCTCCGCCTAAAGGTAGAGCTAGAGGTCACAACCCGATGCCGAAGTTTCAGGCCGATCCAATAACTTATTCAAAAGTTAGAATTGATTTTCTGAAAATTTCAACGGGAAAATGGAGCTTATTTTTGCCCGTTTTCGGTTTCTGGTGCCATAGAGCCCCATGTGTTTGAAAACTCCGTCGGGCGCCATTTTCCCATTGAAATTCTTAGAAAATCAGTTATAACTTTTAATTAAGTTATCGGATCAGGCTGAAACTTTGGCATCTGGTTGTGACTTCTAGCGCTACCTTTGGGTGGCGAATGAGCGTTCGGCGATGCCTATTTTATTTTTGCGGTAAAAAAGACGGTGTAAATTTTCTTTTGTGACACCCTGTACACAGACATGCTCTTCCAAGTAATGGTCTTAATCAAGACATCATTGATTTAGTGTCGGACCGAGTTGATTCCTGACAGCAGCTCTCGCATAAAGACGGCAGATGCAGTTTTAATACCAAACGGCATGCACCTAAATCGATACAATCCCGACGACGTGGAAAATGCAGTCTTCTCCTTCGAGTCATTCGTAAGGGGGATTCGCCAGTACCCCTTGGAGAGATCTAACTTGGAAAAATAAACTTGATTGCCTACCTCGGCAAATACGGCATCGGAGGTTAGGTTGTCGTTGAGCCGATGGAAGTCAATGCAAATCCGGTAGGTCTTCTCTGGCTTTTTAACCAGAACCAAGGGCGAACAGTACGCAGAGGTGGACTTCTCGATTACCTTTAGTTTAGCATTTTGTCTACCTCCTTTTCAACCACGCGCTCCATGGAAAACGGAATCTGGTATTGAGGCGTACGAATGGGTTCATATGTGGTTAGCTACAGCTTACATTCCAGCAGATTTGTACGCCCCGGTACATCCGAGAATATTGTAGCGTGTTTCTTCAGAACGTCTGTGATATCTTCCCGCTGTTTTCGACTGAGATCGTCGGCTAGTGCCACTTCCTTTACTCCCTCTGAACTTCTCAGGTTAAGGCATGGAAGTGGTTATCACTTGTGTCCTCAATGGCTATCGCTGATGACACTTGCTCTGCGGCGCCCACTGCCTCACGTTCTTCATACCGCTTGAGCATGTTGATATGAAAGAGCTTGGTGGAGTGTCCTAGATCAACCTCATAATCGGCCTCGTTCCTTTTTTTCACCACCCTGTAGGGACCCTTCCATTGCATTTGCAGCTTGTTCTTCGAAGGTGTTAAAAGCAGGGCACGGTCACCTATTTTCAAGTCTCTCTTCCCACTTTTCTTGTCATACATCTTTTGATATCATTTTGCTGACGCTAAGTTTTTGTAAGCTAGTTCCATGGTTTTCGCGAGACGGCTGCGCAGGTCAAGAACGAATTTATAAGTTGTCTTGAGGCTGGTTCCTAGTTCATCTCGTGTCCACACCTCCTTTAGGATCAACAGCAATCCTCGAATATGACGGCCGTAAATAGGCTCAAACAGGGAAAAGCCCAGGCTAGCTTGGGGTACCTCGCAGTACGCAAATAGCAAAGGTGCTAGGTACCGATCCGAAGAGCGCGGCTTCTTCTGGCTCATCTTGGTCAACATCTGTCTCAAAGTGCTATTTTACCTCTCAACCAATCCATTACAGATTGGGTGATCTGAGTTTGTAATTTCTTAATCGCTAAAAGTTGTGTCAATTCCTTCATCAATTCGGCCGGATGTGAAGCTAGTTCCTTGATCCGTTAAGATCTGCCAGGGAAAACCCACTTGGGAGAAAATCTCTACAGTCGACCCCGGTTATATCACACCCGGGTATTTCGAATTATTGTTTATATCGAACAGTCTAAACATCCCCTTGAAAATCACATGTAATAGTATAGGACCATTGTTTTTCTGTATCGAACTCTCATGGCAAGGACACTCTATAAAGCGAACTAGCAAATGAAGCACGGCCGCTCCCACGGGCGCCCGTCGCTTCTCCCGCGGTCGGATTGCGCCGGCGGCCAGTACGTTGTGGGGCTGGCAAACCGGGGCTGGCAAACCACCAAGCCAGTATACACTCATGGGGATACACAGCGAAAGAGCAGTTGTAAAAAAGAAAAGAGCAATTGAAAAAAAAAACGAAAATAAGTGGAGGATGGCAAGGGGAAAGGCATGCGTGCGCGTAGGGAGGGCAGGGAGTGCCCGCTGTAGCGTGCGCTCTTTCCCAGAACGCCGCTGTTACTGCACAACTCCTTAGCCCCAAAATAATATAAGCAAGAAAAAGAAAAAAGCCTTGGTCAAGTTGAGTGTGTCGACAACAACGGTTGAGCAATCGCACTTTGAACCCCTTATCTTTGTTTACCTTTTTCTTTCGCTTTTTTTACTTTGCCCATTTTTTTCTTTTTTGCCTTTCTTTTTTTTGCTGCCTAAATTTAGTAAGGTTTCTTTTTTCTTGCTTGCTTAACTTTATTCTATGGATGGAGAGTTTTGTCTTTATGCGGCTCCC